GCTCTGTTCCAGACCACTGCAAATAAGCTTATATTGCAATAAAGTGAGTCATGTGAATATTTCGTTTCCCAGTATATATAAAAGTTATGTTTACACTCTACGTAGCCTATTAAATTTGTACTAGCATAATGAAAAAGTTTGAAATATTGTGAGAGTTATCAACATGTGACACACAAACATGATGTGAACATATGCTGTTGGAAAAATAGCACAATACACTTGCTCGACACAGGATTGCCACAAACCTTCAATTTATAAAAAACGTACTATCTGCAAAGCACAATAAAATGGAGTGTGCTTGTACAGGTATGTGTTGCTTAATGTCCATGATATATTCTATGAAATAAGGTGTTATGTGATTTGTTGTTGTTGTTGTTGTTATTTGCCATCGAGTCGGCTCCGACTCATAGCGACCCCTCCTTGGGTTTCCGAGGCAGTATCACTATGGAAGTAGGATTGCCCAACCTTCCTTCCGAGGAGTGGCTGGTGGGTTTGAACTGCCAGCCGTCTGGTTAGCAGGCAAGTGTCTTAGCCACTATGCTACCAGAGCTCCCGTTATGTGATTTGGACACTATGAAAACATCATGTCATATATAGGAGAGAGGCACACAGGACAGTCACTGGGTGGGCAGACTGCTACATCTTTCTCCTGCAGAGCAGCTGGTAGGTTTGAATGGCCAACCTTTTGATTACCAGCCAAGCACTTTAACCACTGTGCCATGAGGGCTCTTCTACAAAGATTACAGCCTTGGAAACCATATGGGCCAGTTCTACCCTGTCTTATAGGGTTGCTATGAGTTGGAATCAGCAGCAATGGGGCAATGGGTTTGGGTTCTTGGTTTAATGACTAATAATTTTGAGCATCTTTTTGCATGCTTATTAGCCATTTATATATATATATATATATATATATATATTTAAGAAATGTTTACTAAAATATTTTGCCTATATTTTGATTGGATTTTTTTTCTTATTATTATTGAGTTGTTAAGAGTTCTTTGTAAATTCTAGATATAAATCCTTTATTGGATGTGTGTCTTGCAAATATTTCTTGAGGTCCAATTTATTAATTTTTCCATAAGTAAACCAACCAAACCAAACCAGCTGCCATTTAGTTGATTTAAATCCCTGTATTTATTGTCAACTGATTTTTGACAAATGCAATTCATTGTGGAGAGGACAGTCTGTTCAATAAATGGTGCTAGAACAACTGGACATCCCTATATAAAAAGATGAACTTAGACCTTCATCTCACACCACATATAAAAATTAATTTATAATGGCTCACATACTTAGATGTAAGAGCTAAAACAATAAAACATTTAGGAAAAAAAAATAGAAGAAAGGTTTCAAGATTAGGTAAAGATTCTTTTTTCATCTATTCTTGAATTCTTGTCCAATTAAAAATAATACATTTACATGTGTGTAGGGGAGATGTGTGTATAATGTAGGAATATGAATACATAATCACCTTCACTAAAAATGATAAAACATTTTACAAGGATTGGTGACTAAAATTTAAATTATCAATGTTGAAAGTTAAGAATATTGAAAGAACATAGGGGAGGAATAAGTGGCAAGCCAACTAGAACAGAGTATCTAGAGCTTGATGGGTAAAACTCAAGACAAAGGTGTGTTAACCCCTTTTCCAAGTACTATGTAATGTGTATTTCCACATTTCCAGCTAAGAAATGTTGGTCACAGGCAGTAACTAAATGCAGATTTGTTTAAACATTGCTACCATTACAGGTTAAAAGAACAAGCTATAGAAAGATAAATCTCAGTCTATCACCCAAGGTGATGCTACATACTGTAATGTTTGCAATGACATCATGAAGCTAACATGAAATTCTTACAGCCCGTTATTTCCAACATATGTAGGAAGAAAGAAATTATTGTTAAGAATTTATAATCATATTTGAACTCATTTTGTCAAAACGGAAGTTTAAGCTCTAAAGCCTCACTTTTAAAGGTACTTTATTAACTTTTCTGGACTGTACCTCAAATTGTTAATAATTAATTTCATGGGCAAATTATCACTTACATCCTACACAGGGACACAAGAGTACTCACATAACACTTGGCCATTTATGTTCACAATCAGTCAGTCAATGCCCATCCTCTCCCTTTCCATTTCAGTCACCTCACAACAAATGGGAGAGCTTTTGCGGAAAACCCCAATCTTGATTTCTTTTATCCAGAGCAAAATTTGTTTTCAAAATACACTTCCTGGTGTAATTAAAATTGAATTGCTTGTGGACTCTAGAATTTTGGTGCCAGGGAGGATGGATGAACCTCTGAAACTATTGCTCAGAGAGAATCCTTAAATCTTAAACTAAAAATATCCCCTGAAGTCTTCTTAAAACCGAGCAACAGTTTAGCTTAACTAGTAAAACAAGGTCTGCCTTGAGCATTTTTTTTTTCTTTTAAGAAACTATCTATATGGGATCAAATTGACAACAGCAACTGGAAAGGTTAGATAGAAACCTCAGGGGGCAATGAATTTATGTTAATCAGGGAGGAACAACTCAGAAAAGGAGAGTAAGGATGACTGCATAACTTGGAGAATGTCATCAACGTCACTGAATTGTACATGAAGAGACTGTTGAACTGGTGTATGTTTTTGCTGTACATATTCTCAATAACAACAACAAGGTAAATAAAATTTAAAGAAGAAAATTAAATTGCTGCTTATTAACACATTCATATATTTTCAGTTACAACTGTTATTTATCAGACCACTTCTCTCTCTTAGGAAAGGAAAATGTTTTATTATTAAAACATTAAAATTTTATAATTCTTGAGCACACAGTATGCAGTGACAAAGAGTAATCAGTGAAAAACAGTAATCAAACTATACCAACAAATATATACCTCGTTTTCTGAGGAAGGAGCCCTGGTGACACAGTGGTTAAGTGCTTGGCTGCTAACCGAAAGGTTGGTGGTTTGAACCTGCCAGTTGCTTAGCAGGGTAAAGATATGGCAGTTTGCCTTGAAAACCCTGTGGGGCAGTTCTACTTAGTCCTATAGAGTTACAGTGAATTGGAATCAACTCAATGGCAATGGTTTGTTTTTGGTTTTTGTCTTCTGAGGAGTTCTAGACATACTTTTTTCTTACTCTTTCTTTGTTATTATGGTAAACAGATATTTATCATATGGTAAATATGGTAACAAAACATTTGACATTTCAACAGTCTTCACATGTACAATTCAGTGGCATTATTTATGTTCATAATGTTCATCATTAACCACTCCTGAATTGTATCTTCCTATCTCTTACATGAGTGGTTTCAAATTATCAGAAATATCAGTCAAGTGTTGGAACCTTGCATTTTAGCATCTAACAAAGTTCTTGGAAGATAATAAACACTTGGTAAGTTTTTTTGGGAGAAAGTAAATATTTATTATTACTACAATATTTTTTAAATTACATTTCACTAGCCCCAGAGTCTAATGGCAGAAAATATACCATGGAACCAATCAAACAACTAAAATAATACTCTAGAAGAGATACGTGGCCATATTATTATTGTAATATAATCTTTCAATGTTGAGAGCCAAATGCCAACTTCTTTCTTTCTTGAATATCTACTAATACGATGTTCTCTTATTTATTTTAAAGAGAGATGCTCTCTCCTCTTAGTTTACAGCCACTCTATAAATGTCTTAGGTCATTACAAAGTTAGACTTTCTTATCCAGGATAAGATAGACTTAGATGAGTGCTGACACATAGAAAGAAATGTCCCTAAATCAAGTTAGTCTTATTACCACTGCTATCATTACTAATATATTCTACTACTCACTTCCATCTTGAGTATAAGTAGAAACAATTTACCAGCTTATTAGAATTTTACATAAATTTGAAATAGTACACTAGGACTGAAGTAAATGAAGGCAACTTTCTTTTCAACTTGTTGTGGTTGAGTGGACACTGGCAAGGCTACGGCACATATGCTATGAAGTTTACGCATCAGATTGGTAAAATGGAACCTCACAAAAACAAGTAAAATGAAAAAAAAAAATACACGAACTCTTTGAAAATACTTTCTTCTTGCCTAAGATGTAGCGTAAAGACATTCAGCTGCTAAGTCAAAGTTTGGAGATTCAAATCTACCGAGAGGCACCTTGAAAGACAGCTCTGGAGATCTATTCCATTGAAATCCCTATGGGGCACAGTTATAACTCTGACACACAAAAGGCTGCATGAGTCAGAGCTGACTTGACAGCAATTGGTAGTGGTAGAGACTGTTTCTGAGTAATTTTCTTAAATAGTATCTACAATCTTTTCAGTTACAGCTCTCTAGCCCTTCAGCCACCTGGAACCATTAAGTCTTACCTGCAGTCTTATCCTGACCTCAGGGCTTGGGCTAGCACAGTCCTCTAAAAGGAGCAATTTTTTGAAGCCTTAGACCAATTGCTTATCTGCTCACTATCAGATCAGCCATTCTGCTGCTCCTGCTCTGATACTGTAATCTACTTCCAGGCACTAAGATTTTATCTGGTTACTTGCAATAAGTCCCGACCTGTATCCCTAGACACTAGGATGGTTTCACCCCCTGTGATCCTTCACCCTTCCTTGGGGCTTTACTTTGTATCACAGTCGGCACACTACTTCGTATAATGTTCTGTGGGCTTAGTTAGCCTCCTACCCTGGAACTCCAGTTTTCATGAACATGTCTCCCATACACACTACCTGATAGCAATGATGCAGACTTCCTTCATGTCTGATTTCCACCCATTACCTACTGTAAACACTCTAGAGACAGGTCTTATGCTTAAACTAGATTTCTTACCAACTCTCAGTTCCTTTCACTCTCTTCCACCTAGCATAGGAAGGACTGTCTGGTCTTGGGTCTTCCATAGACTGACTCATTTCAGTGATGAGTTCAAATTCTAATACTAACTCAAATAATCTCTCTATTCAAACCAACCAACAGTAAGCTTAAAACGCCTACGTGAATATATACCTGCTGCTTGAAATTCAAAAAAGACCCCTTACCTGTCTGAATGAATCCTGATTTGTATCCATTAGTTGTCCCATTTTCTGGGGTCACAGTTGATGACACTGAAGAGTTTGGTTTAAGAGAGTGGCAAGGAGCAGAGGATTGTCGGCTTCTACATTCTGGAAAGGAGTAAGAATCACATTATATGAGATCAATGTTCTGTTAAAATTAGTGATGGAGGACCATCCATTAAAAACCTCTAATATACATTGCTGCTTCTTCAGTGGTAGCCACTTTTCTCATTAGAGATTCACCCTTTCCCTAATGCTGACTCCAACAGAATATGCAAGCTAGTGAGCATAGTTCTTTTCCCTAGGGCCAGATGTCAAGTTTGGAAGGCAAAGAAATGATTACATAGAAAATCAGATCTTTATTCCCAGACAGACTAGTTCCCAGGGGAAAATAAATCATATTCAATGTAAGCATGATAGTTTTAGTTTTAGACTGAGGCTAAAATATCAATCAGCCAAAAAAACCAAACCCACTGCCATTGATAATTTATAAAAATCTAATAAGCTTTCAGAAGCTCTGGTGGCACAGTGGTTGAAGTGTGCAGCTGCTAACCAAAAGGTTGGTGGTTCAAATTCAGTAGCTGCTCTGTGGGAGAAAAATGTGGCAGTCTGCTTCTACAAAGATTTACCGCCTTGGAAATCCTATGGAGCAGTTCTACTCTGTTGTATAGGGTCATTATGAGTTGGAATAGGCTCAACAGTAGTGGATTTTGATTTAATAAGCTTTCAAACACCAGTTTACTTCCTGTCCATGACTGATTTTAGTGTGGAACAGTAACCTAAAGTCCATACAGGCTGCTTTCAACTTTCTCTACCCAATTTTAATTTATATCCCAAAACAGATGCAGAGAAAATATGTATAGGCAAAAGAGATAAATTAGAAGCTCTGGTGCCACAGTGCCTAAGGCATCTGACTACTAATCAGAAGGCTGGCAGTTCAAACCCACCAGCCACTCCTCAGAAGGAATTTTGGACAATCTACTTCCATACAGATATCATGTGCATTCTCAATTCTTCTGAAGGAAATAGGCAGACAATGTTCAAGTTTATTGCTGATCATACAATACTAAGCTTCATTTTAAAAAAGCTGATATTAATGAGGATCTGGTATAATGTACTTTGTATTATGATAGCCTGTGGTGCTTTAAGGAACTCTGGTGGCATGGTATCTAAGACATTTAACTGCTAACCAGAAGGTTGATGGTTCAAACCCACCAGCTGCTCTGTGGAAGGAAAATGGGGCAATCTACTATGATAAAGATTTACAGCCTCAGAAACCCAATGGGGGTTGCTATGAGTTGTAATTGACTGGATGGCAGTGAGTTGGTATTTTTTTGAGTTTGTGGTACTTTAACTTGCAACCAAATTATACTCTATGTTAAACAATATTAATCTCTAAACATAGTATATAAAAAGGGAATACAAATGGTTGTATATGACAAAGCCAATTAGAGAGGGTTTCCAAGTTTATCAGATATATGCAAGGATTAGAAGCAGTTTCCTATAACTTTCATCTATGCTATGACCTTCCAGGAAGAGCTATGGTATTTTGGCCTTAAAGCACATCTCCACATTATGTGTATATGTATATTGTACATGTTTGTATAAGTGTATATACATACAATTCCAATTCCAAATTAGCAACTTCTATAACCATGATGCTTCAGAAGCCACCCAGGATCACTGTATTATAAGCTATTTCACAAATGTTATTCTTTACCAGAAAGATGAATTATCATTATGTACCAAAGAAGTTAAAAATATTTATGTAACTGTAACAAAATTTTTTTATAAAAAGGAAGTTAAAAGGTAGGGAGGCAATACCTATTCCATTTTTACTCTTTTGCTAGGGTTCATAACATTCAAAATTAATTTTCTAGGAAAATTCTTCAGACTTTATTAGGATAAAGAGTTATAATGCTTATGAGTCAATGGTTGCAAGTGGTAATACCTGGCTTAGAACATGTAGCAGCTTCCTTTGGAGTTATATAATGCCACTTAAGCTATGAAGGACTCAGAGACAAATCTGTAGTTGTAATTTGTATTTATTATGCTGTTTTTCATGGACAGGCAAAAGTTGTGTACAGACAATAAACGGAAACATTAAAGACGTATTATTATATAGGGGAAAAAATTTCAGCATCTATGAAATTGCTCAATAGAAGGATTAGATACAGCCCTGCAGTAATACAATGGATAGAACTTGTGCAAATTCCTATCAAATACATGAAGATGTGAAGTTTTAACTGGATTCATTTCTATACATAAGTTAGTTAAGTTCTTCTTAATTTAAAAGAAACAAAACTTTGTCAACTTAACAGTGTCTTTTCTCTAGGCATTATGAAGATAAATTATTTACTCTCAAGTATTTTGGGTTTAATTAAAATAGAAAAATGTATATGCTTGAGAATTACCAAAGAACCCAAATAAAGTTTAAAAAAAAAGTATCTTAACGGAAAACTGACACTTTGAGGTCCTCTCCAAATGAAGAAACCAAAAAAACTAGTAAGAGTCCATTCTTCTTCCAAGGGTTGTACCCCACCAACTTCAAAGGACAAAAACAAACAGATGTGTACTTTTCTTCAACTTGAATAATCTCTGCTAAAAATAGAAAAGAAGCAGAGTTCATATAACCTACTTCTTATTGTGTGCTGCAGACTTGATTCCTATTCATAGTGACCCCACAGGACAGAGTAGAACTGCCCTATAGGGTTTCCTAGGCTGTAATCTTTATGTAAGCAGACTGCCACATCTTTCTTACAAGGAGCACTGGTGGGGGTTCGTTCAAACCACTGATCTTTTTGGTTAGCACCTAAATGCTTAACCATTACACTACCAGGGTTCCTTACACAACCTATTAGAGGGATTTATATTTTTTTGATGGCCTTCTGACCTTGGGATATTTATTATATCAACCCTCAATTCACAATTCTGTACGAGTCACTATCACTACTGTGGAATCCCCACTTCCTTCCCTTTCTGTAGTAGAAGCTGAGGCTACCTTTCCAGCAGATGAGAGGTCCCTTCGATAGTACACCCTGGGAACTTCTGACTAGGTAGTACTTTAAGTGCTTCTGCTTTTTTGGCTGGGTGGTGAGCTTCAAGTTAATGTGATTGGAAAATTCTGTGAAATACCGAAATCCTCTTTCTCCACAGCCAATACAGTTTCCAGAAAACCCTGAAATGAGGAAAACCAAAGTTACTGGTGGCCTTGTAAATGGATACGATATTTTTATATATAAAAATAAATATTCATGCAATAACTTCTCAAGTTCAAGGAAATAATTCAAAGGAAGAAATAAAAACAGGCACAAAAATAATTTTAGCAGAGTTATTTTATAATGTGAAAGACTAGATATAATATACATATCACCCCAAAAGAGTAATAGTTAAGGAAATAAACTGGATAGTATCATGTGATAGAATTTATATAGCTGATATTATGATAAGAAAAAGTTTGGTCCTGGAGATGTCCATTATTTCCTCACCACACCCTCCCTTCTTAGAGGATGTGCTGATCTTAGGCATGGTTCTCCATCCTACCTGCCATGTGAATTTGCTTCTGACAAACAATATCTGACCTAATTTGGGACAATCAGAGGCTCTATCCTGGAATTTTGAAGTAAATAAACAGAGTCATTCAAATGATACTAGACGCTGGACCAGGTTTGAACTATGTCAACCACATGTAAACTAAGGTGCAGGACAGACCAAGTTGAGAAATATGAAAAGTTTCTATACCATCTGGTTATACCTTCTGATGCTGATTGCCATGAGATTTCCATTTCTTCTTTATTCAAACCCTCTTTATTCAAGCTGGGTGGTATAAATTGTGTTTGTCTACTAACCTAAAACATGATGGTTCAAACCCACCAGCAATGCCACAAAAGACAGAACAAGCAATATGCTTTCATAAAGATTACAGTCAAGAAAACCCAATGGAGCAGTTCTACTCTTAATATAAAGAGCTGCTATGAGTCAGAATTGACTCAATGGCAATGTGTTTGGGTGTTTGTTTTTTTTTTTTTAATTCTTTAGTGCTGACATCTAAACAATTCCTCTCTCAGACTAATGAAACTTCTAGGGGCTGTTTGGAAAAGAAGATAAAGAAAGAAGAAACGGAGCGTGCTGGGAGAATGAGAAGTTATGCTTTGCTTTACTGGAAATCAACTTTTTTGGTCCTCCTTAATACACCAACCAAAAAGCATGCAGTAAGAGTGAGTTCCTCTGGTTGTCTGATGAGAAAATAACACATTTATTTTCATAGAGGTAAACAAAGACAAACAAATTTTAAATAAGAAAGAAAGGAAATTTTAAATTGTACAAATTCAGTGTCTCTATTACTTACAACTAACTGAAAAGAAATTCACTGATAAAGTGATAGTGTTTTTATGTAACTAAGATATGTAAGGAGAGAAGATAAAGTCTATGTGGATTATAAAGACAGTACCTCCCAGTGTCCCAATCTTAGGACACTGACAATCAATCAGAGCATCTATAAATGGGCAGTCCGATCTATTATTAATTCGCCTATCTATACATCAAGCATTGTGCTAAACAATGGAGAAGCAGTGGTAAACAAGAGATAGTCACAACCTCTAGCCAATTACATAGAATTACTAATTTATTACTATTATTATATAAAAATGTAAATATTAGTACAGTTTTTTAAATTACTTAAACTGTATTCAGAGATAGATTGCATTTGAGAGCACCTAGCCATTGTCTAAAACCCTGAAGGTGGAAGCAAACAAAAACAAATGTTGTCAATGGCTGCAGAGTTCAAGTTCCTAAAGTCATCCATCCATCAATCCATCCATGCAACAAATATTTATACTCTAATATGTGCCACGCAGGAGTCACTGGGTACACAAAATGGTTAAGCACTGGACAACTAACTGAAAGGTTGGCAGTTAGAACCAACCTAGAGATGCCTCAAAGGAGAGGCCTGATGATCTGCTTCTGAAAAGTCACAGCCTTGTAAGCCCCGTGAAACACAGTTCTGCTCTCACACATGGGCCTGCCATGAGTTGAAATCAACTCTATAGCAATTAGTGCTAAACACTGTTTCAAGTACCAGGGATTCAGCACTGAATAATGGTGTGATCGTCACCCCTTAATGGAAATTGCCTAAACTGTCAAGCAAATGTATCACATGAAAACCACAACAAAAATGCTAGAAGAACATTTCAGTAGAAATATTTTAATAAGCTAAAAAATGAGGCTTATATGGTATGTCCAAGTAGTTTAGAAAAGATAAGCATGAGAATTAGAATTAACAAATTAATGAAGTTGAGGTGTTCTTTTTTTTTTTTTTTTTTTAAATCTTTTCCTCTGCCTATTTTCTGTGGTGAAAAGCAAGAGAGTGGGAGAAGGAAGGAAAGTAATAGATTTGGATAATCTACGAAGAAGAGAATCTTCACTTTAATAAAAGGTAACAATATTAGGAGTTAGAATCCTAAGGTCCATTTCTCAGACTCTGTTTGACTCTATTATCCTTGGTTCAAAAGAGATTTTATTTGCTCAAAGTTCTTGCTAGCATCAGTAATGAAAAAGAAAGAAAAAACACACTTAACAGCCAAATTACCTTTCTAGTTATTTTAGCAATCAAGTTGTTCAGTTGCAGAGTAGATGTGGAGCACATGCACTGGCAACTGGAGAAATATTTTTTAAAATCAAGTCTCCCACAGTCTTTGGAATTTGCACAATTTACATAAAACTTTAGACAAATTGATATTGGATTTCACCGGGATTCTAGAATATCTGAAGCTTAAAGCTTTTCCCACTATATCAATGTATATACTAAAATCATACATCAAAGTAGGAAATGTTGGGTGAGTATTAACTTCTGGTCAAAAGCATATTGAACATATAAAAATCTCAACAATATGATTATCTAAGAAAAAAGTTCCACCATTTTGCTGCAATACATTTGTACCTGGAGAAGTGGGAAGTGAAAAGTTATGCCCATTTTTATAAGGCTAGAGAAAGTAAACACAGTTCTAAGTCTATAAAAGTATTTCATAAATACTAAAGCAGAATAACTACCATTTAATGAGCAAGTACTAGGTCCCTGGATGGCACAAATGGTTTGTTCTCAGCTATTAACCAAAAGGTTGGCAGTGAGAACCCACACAGCAGCACTGAGGAGAAAGGTCTGGTGATCTGCTTCCACAAAGATTACAACCAAGAAAACCTGATGGTGCAGTTCTACTCTGTGTAACACACATAGGGTGCCATGAGTCGGATTCAAGTCAACAGCAATGGGTTGGGTTTGGTTTACTATGTCAGACATTGCATTACACGGGGGCCTTATAAACATCATCTCACTTGATCTTTATTATTTTATTTTACTTCACTTGATCTTTAAAACTCTACAGAGTAGGTACTATTGGCTCTTTTAAAGACATGAGGAATCTGAGACATCAAGAGGTTAGGTAGCTTGCAAAGTTCTTCAAAGTACTAAGTGGCAAATCAGGGGTTTAAACCCAGGTCTGTCTGATTCTAAAGTCCATGGTCTTTGGTCTACATATTTCTATTTTCATAGGATTAAGAAATCTATTATTCTGATGGTGTTTGCTCTGTCCTTTTCATAATATATTCTAAGAGGATTCCTCTAATCAAGAAGAATCACTGAGCAAAAAGGAATCATGAGAGATTTTTCTCTATAGTCACAGCCACATCTGATGACACTGATGATTTTAAAATGCCTTCCAAAAAAGCCATTTTACCACAACCTACTATGTTCTAAGCTTTGAGAGAAAAAGGATTGTGTCTTCCTTCTGTACCCCTATATCATAACCTAGCATGATTTGTTATACAGTACATTTGGAATAAATATTGGTGAATGAATGAACAGATACTTAGATCTTCTTTGGTAATTTAGTACAATATGTAAGTTTTATCACTAGGTTTCCATATTAAATTATTTTCTCAATTTTACTAAAAGAAAAATAAAGTGAACACAGTCCCTAAGGCACCTGACTGCTAGCCAGAAGGCTGGCGGTTCAAACCCACCAGCCACTCCTCGGAAGGAAGATGGGGCAATATACTTCTGTACTGATACTTCCTCGGAAACCCAAGGAGAGGTCACTATGAGTCGGGTCTCACTCAATGGCACATAACAAATATACAAAAAACAACTGACCGTTTCTTTTTCGATGAACCAGAAGAAGAGTCTTAATCGTAATTTAAGGAATCAAACCACAGCTCAAACAAACAAATATGTTTCTGAATCAATACAACACTTGAATTCTTTGTCCTTTTATCTTTTTCACTTTTACTGATATCTGTGCCTAACACCTGACTATATCTATAGTAAGAGAAATTTTGAGGGGGGGGGGGAATCCAGAGAAATGAAGCAGCAGGAAAAAAAAAAAAGGCCAATAAGCTTCATATGCCCTCTTGTTTGTCTTTATAATTATTTAAAAAATAAATAAATCCACTCTGTTATTTCTTTTTTTTTTTTCACTCTGTTATTTCTTGATGCATGGAATATGGAGGCTATCTTGTAAAAAGGCCTAGATTCTAAGTTAATACCAGAAATTAAACCATTTAATTTTGAGATAAAGTTATACGTTTTATATCACATTTACATTCTTATTTATTTTGGGTAAACTAATGCTAAATGTAAAATGAGAAACACAGTAATCAAGTATAGATAGGAATAATGGATGCTATGGAAAAACTACAAATAATTTACAAAGTGATAATCCACAAAAGAGTAACTGAAAGTTGATTTTACATCAGTTTCAGATCAATGGCATTACAGAGTGTAAATTCTACTTTGTTTATAAAATATTAATTTTTGCAAAATTGCATTGTCTTTTAATATTTAGTTTTTTAAAAAAAGTCTCTTAAATAAGGCAAGGTTTTGAGAATGAATAAACCCACTGCTGTCAAGTTGATTCTGACTCACAGCAACCTTCAAGGGCAGAACAGAACTGCCCCATAAGTTTTCCAAGGCTGTACAGAGGTGAAGCAGACTGCCACACCTTTCTCCTCCATCGAGTGGTTGGTGGGTTTGGAACTATCTACCTTCTGTTTAGCAGCTGAACTCTTAACCACTATGCCACCAGGGTTCTTTGTTGTTGTTATATGCCATCGAGTCAGACCCGACTCATCGCGACCCCTCCTTGGGTTTCCAAGGCAGTATCACTGCAGAAGTAGATTGCCCAACATTCCTTCCAAGGAGTAGCTGGTGGGTTCAAACTGCCAGCCTTCTGGTTAGCAGTCAAGTGCCTTAGGCACTATGCTACCAGGGTTCTTTAGAACAAATAAAAATGAATGTAAAAAATGTTTCTCATTTGAACTACACTATTTAATTCCAATTAATTCTGTGGCTTTTTTTTTTTTTTTTAATTCTGTGGTAATTTTAAATAAAACTTCTGCTTTAACTGTCTTATTTTAGAAGGAATTTCATAAGCATGAAATACTCACCTAAAAGTGCATTTTTTCCATGATCATCTGGTAGAAATCGCTTGTCTACAGCACAAACTAGGATGTGTTCAGGAAGATTGGGAGACTTGGCCCCCACCAGCAGGAATCCTGCTGGGATATCGATTTGTTCCATGCACAGTGATACCAAACGCAAATCCTTTCCTGCTTGACAAAAACCTAAAAACAGATGAAAAAGGACACAGTGACCTGACAGAATGGGAGAAAAATGAGAAACAGAACCTCAAAATCTTGGGAAAAATGAAAAAAAACACCCAAAAAACAAAAAACTACACCTATAGGTCTGGTTGAGACTGGAGGACACTGTTACTCTGAGATACTCTTCAAACCCTGAACTGAAACTAAACCCCTTAGGTCACCTTGTAGCTAAATAACTGGCTTAAAGAATAATGAATATCACCCTTAAGTACCGTGCTCCTTTAAAAAAATCTCCTGTATGAGACCAAATGGTCAACATATACTTTAAACTAAGATGAGAATGTAAGAGGGTAGGGAAACTAGTTTAATGGAAATGGAAAAACCAGAAGAGAAATCATGAGAATGTTCGCACACTGTGAAGAATGTAACCAAGTCATTAAACAACTTGTGCAGAAATTATTGATTGTGAACCTACACTGCTGTGTAAACCTTCACCAAAAACACACAAAAAAAATATTATTGATAAATAAATAAAGCATGCAGTGAAATGTCTTCCCAGTTCCAGCTGCTATCAAGTCAATTCTGGACTCACAGTGACCCCGTGTGTTTCAGAGGAGAACTATGTCACAGGGATTTCAAGGGCTGCTTTTTCAGAAGTAGATTGACAGGCCTTTCTTTTGAAGTTCCTGTGGGTGGACTTGAGCCTCTGACTTTTTAAAAAGTCAGCAGCTGAGCATATTAACCATTGTACCATCCAGGGATCCCAGAAATGTTTATGACCATTTTCATTAATTTACCTGTCAGTATTTAGCACCAAATTTAAAGCACATCTACTCCAACCAGAAGACAAATCTATCACATGTGCCCCTCTGAACAGAACGGAAAGGACACTAAAAGGAGATCATTTCTATTCGTTCAGCCAACACTGACATTTATTTTCTGGCCCACAGATAAGGCAATGATTTAAACAAAACAGCAAACTTTGAAAAGTACACTTATTTTCATGTGCATGTACAGTAATTTCTCTTTAAATGCAAACTGAATTCTCTAAATGGGGAAAATCACAGAAAGAGCTGCTCTTCATTTCACAAAATTTGTGAGTCATAAATGAATGGGCCAGACTAGAACTTAGAACTGTCATATTATCTCCACTAGATATGACATGACATGACAAACCTTATATAAACACTTTGTGTATCATATTAATTCATTAGTTCAGGATTTATTAACCCAACATTTACAACAGATGCTGTCCTAGGTCAAAGGATACAGAATTGAACAAAATGTATTTTCCTCTAAGAACTCACATTGTAGTCTACTGGAAAATTGATAAGGACCCAATAAATAATCACAAAATAATGTTACAGAAGACAGCTATTGTTCTGCTGCAGAGTACCCCTCTCTATCCCTTCTGAGAAATGATCCCTCCTGTACTACAGTCAGAGTCCTTGGGTGGTGCCAAAAGGTTGGCAGCTTGAGTTGACCTGGAGGCACATCAGAAGAAACACCTGGTGATCCACCTCTAAGAAATTAGCCACTGAAATTAGCTTATAGAGCACAGTTCTACTCTGATGCACTAGGGGATCAGCATGAATCAGAGTCAAATCCATAGCAACTGGTTATTTTTTGTTTGTTCTCTAATCACGTTGTTGTTACGTGCCGTCAAGTTAGATCCAACTCATAACAACCCCTCCTTGGGTTTCCGAGGCAGTATCACAGAAGTAGATTGCCCTATCTTCCTTCCGAGGGGTGGCTGATACGATCCCTTGAAGAGTTGTGATATTCCAGACTGACCTAAGAGCTGGAACCTGACCCAAGCTGGACCACTTTAATATCCTACCTTTCTGACCATAGTTGACTGGGTCAGGCATGGGCACCTGACATGATCAAGGACAATCAAAATCTTTTCTCTGGGAATTCTGGCTCAGTTTGCTCTGTCAGTAATCATGTTCTTTGCCACAAGAGAGAAGCCTAACAGTAGAGACAAGAAGGAGTGTTCTGGTGGTGACTGAATCCGTAAAGCCCAGTTTATATCTGATTTTGCCATGGTATGGTCATGAAACCTTTAATTTGGAATTCTTCCAATAATTTCCTCATTTTACCTAAGCTATTTTGAGTTGGATTTTTGTCATAATAAATGCTATTGAAGGTAGCTGTGGGAGCATGAAGGACAGATACCTAACTCTCTGCACATAAACCTGGAGAGATCACCATAATCGTTGTTCAATACAAAGTAAGGAAGATCTATGCTTTATTCTTCTAAAAGTATCAATTAATGATTTTAAGCAAATGTCAACAAATAGTTGAATGAACTATTACATGAGAAATAAAAAATAAAACACAATCAAAACAAATTTATTTATGGTTTGGATCATCAAACCTCAACAACAGATACAATGAAATTGGAAAAGGTCAACAGAAAATAAACTAAGAGAATCAAGACACTGGCTCGCAACCATTTCAAGCCTGTAAATGAATTCCCTCACAACATTAAAAAATTTCAAATTTAACTTTTAAGTATTCATAAGTGCAAAAAATAATATAAAAATTATGAATTCTTTAACAGTTTTAAATGAACCTGCCTGTTATTACTCACAATATCAACTAAATTTATTTGAAATTTTGTCATTTATATGTTGTTGTTGTTAGATGCCATAGTCAGTTCTTACTCATGTTGTTGTTATGTGCCATCGAGTTGGACCCGACTCATAGCGACCCCTCCTTGGGTTTCCGAAGCAGCATCACTACGGAAGTAGATTGCCCCATCTTCCTTCCGAGGAGTGGCTGGTGGGTTTGAACCCCCAGCCTTCTG